CACAGTTGACATCTACTGGATCAGAAAGTGAATCGGAAACACGAACTGACATGGTACGTAGGCGAAGAAACTCCTCGATCCAACCAAGCACGAGTCCACGGATTCTATATTTATACAGCTTCCGTATCAGTATTTGATGATTTACTCTATCAAATGCTTTAGAAAAGTCCAGGTAAATAACATCTACCTCTTGACCTTGGTCTACAGTATGAGTCCAATGGTCCCGAGCCAAAATCAAGTTAGTTGCACATGAACGTTTTTTTCCAAACCGTGCTGGGCTGGGGATAGTAGGCCATTTTTCTCCAGATGATCCATTACAGGATCTCCAACAATAGATTCCATGATTTGGACAACACTGGAAGAAGAGTGACGGGTCGGTATTTGGCTCGGTCACAACGGCATCCACCTTTGTGAATTGGTGAAATGACACCGTTTTTCCACACCTGAGGAAGCACGGTATCTTCGAACAGCTTTTGATAAAGCTCATTTAAAGGATTGTCTATGTGACTTACCAGGGTGATAAGGGCTTGTGGATGAATGTTGTCTAAACCCGGTGATGAGTTCTTCTTCAAAGCCAGGAGCTTTGCCTTTATCCTTTCGGGAGAATAGATGTTTGTCAGTAATGGTAAGAAATATCTTCCAGCAAACGGGGAAGTACAAACCCAGCGTTTCCAGGGGTATTGACCACTTGAGAGTACTGTAGCCTTAGCATTTATGCAGCATCCTTCGTTTTCGCTGAAACACGTCCTGCTGAGTTTAGTATTGGAACGCCGTGTTTGACTTTCCGGGAATCGGTTACATGCTTATATAGTAGCTAAGGGTTTGTGATAAACTTCCTCGCCACCATATCATGATAATTGTACTTGTCTTCCCGCACCAAATTTGTACAATAATTTCGAAGGAGCCTTTAAGCTTCCCAAGTGCTGGGGCATGGACAGCGTTTGAACTCCCTCCAATGAAAGTCCCTTTTGCATTATCCATTTCCTAGTTCGACTGCGAATTGCTGATTTTCACACAGTCGGTTGGCCTAGACGCTTGACGGTTGTAACAGCATCCACTAATGTTGTGATGCTGTTAGTAAATTTCCTCCAGGATTCCAGAGGATTGCAGCCTATATCAGGGGAGATCCACTGGATTCCATGAGCCAGGTTGTTTAGTCCTGCAAGCAGCGAACGGGCACTCAATTTACCCGCATTGTAATTTGTTATAATAGTAGAGCAACACGCCCCCACCTCGCGATGGACGATCACGCCTCAATGGCTCCATGCCCGGTAATCGCAGCTCGGAGTCCAGAATGTCAGTCGTCAACCAGGTTTCGGTTACGGCAATAAAATCCCATCGACTGGTCCGACAACGTAGTTCCACTTCTGGAAACTTACTGAAAAAACCCTGAGCATTGGTATAGAAACAGTTCAGTCGTTGTCGGTGCATAAACCCCTTAGAGTTTGAGGACGTAACTTGGCCAACCTGGTCGTCGGCCGGCAGGCGTTTTTTGCCGTAGGTGTTTGTTGGGTTCGGTCTAATGGGGTCGGAGTGAAGCATTAAGTTTGCAGTGTTTCACGCGCAATGTGATTGACATTTTCGACTGGCGCACAATTTTTCAGTCCAGAATTCAGCATCAGTCTTACGCGTAGTCCTTTGGGCCCTCTGGTTCTGTGTTCATACCATGATTGGAGAACTGTGTTTACCATGTCTGGTGTCCCAAGGGTTACCATCAATATTTGCAGGCCATCTCCGCGATAGTTGGGAGAATGCGGAAGGCGTTCAGTGGCCGTGGTAGAGACATTACGGGCGTCTGACAATTCTTGAATGAAGCGCTATTCGTAAAAATCATTTTTTCGACAGTTGGACTCATCGGTTTCGGGGAGCTGTGGCACTCCGTGTATGAGAATCGCTCGCGAATTGTCTGCATCACGTGCACTGTTAGGATCGTCCCATCAAAATCGTCAACAAAATCGTCAGCGTTTTTCTTGTGTACTTCGAGAAAATTGAACCGGAATTGAATAAGAAAGCCGTTTGTCCAAATATCTTCCTTAGCGTTTGGACTGTATCGGTGAATTTCAGTGTTCATGGTTCCGCCGGAAGTATGTAGTTGGAATAACGGACATGTTCTGCCGAACCAAGTTTGAGTAACAGAAGACGAACTCGTGTGTCTTCATCTTAGGAGCCAAACTCGACCGTGAATATGTCCTCATAACGTTTATACATCAGCATCGGGATCATGGTACAAATCTGGTATACTGCGGACAATATGGTCTGCAGTGCACGAATCACATGGGGGTTGATAGACCCGCACCGGCCAAGCTAGTAGACAGCAACTCCATCAGGCCTAACTGAGCGTGCATCATGGTCTTTACGTCATCCACGTTGGGGTCCTTCTTTGGCATTGTGACACTCCCGTCTCCAATTTGTTATGTTTTGCCCGCCTATATGGGTTGCCAACTATTAGATCGCACAGCACTATATCACAGCAGAACACCACAAGTGCAAAGAACACAAGATATAGCACAATAACAATAGCAGCACACGGGAAACGAGAACAGCGGATTATGCACTCGTGCTCAAGCCTAGCTGCAAATGTTACCTGACGCTCAACCAGAATTCCGCCGCAAGCAGGAATTTAGTCAAGCGGATGGATTATCATTAGTATTACCCAAAGACACATCAGTTAATTCGGAAAGAGACAAAATGAAAATAAACAAGCTGGCACCATTAAACGGCGAATTGGCAAAGTGCTTTATGAAATGCAAATCGGGAAAAACATATGGTTACGTCACGAGAACCAGTTACGACCTAGATATCGCCAATCTTACGAGGTTGAACGAAGGGCACTTCCCCTGGATATCCTGCTAAACACTTTTGACATCCCCACTAAGAATACTGTGTCACCAGCAGAAGAAGCATGCCTCATGCCAAGAAGATTGTCCGGTCGGCCATGAAAACCAACCAGGAGATTGCAATTGTCCCACTCATTGGACTAACTACTCAACCAGACTGTTTCATGTATCAGAAAGCACAATCCATTTCAACAAGCTTTTATGGGTTTTCACCTTGCTCATTTTGACGTTAGCTTCATGGAGTGACGATTCCATTAGTAACCTTTATGAACTTGTCTTTTCAGCACCGGTCAGATTTTTTATTCTTTGTTTAATGAAGCATATCGACCAACGTAGTACAATTCGATAGAAAAACAAAACTAACAAATAATGACAAGCGTTTATTCAATTTTTTTGTTTAGTTCTTTGAATTTTATTACCATTAGTGACTCTAAGGCTATTCCGATAATTTATTTGTGATTTAATGGGCTTGTATTATGTGGTTTTTTTCCTTTTCTTAATGTGGCATTACTGTTGACGTCTTGTTCATCCAGTCTAGTTAAACAAATTTGCCGCGTATTTACATTATTCGATCAAAGAAGATGATGTTCTCGAAAATCAGATCTGTCAGAGAAATGTTCTAACGAAAACAGAAAAATGACAAACATACGAGAGCAAGGGATCAAGCGGGAGGCACCGCTTTGAAGTGCCTCTGAATCTTACTAAATAGACGGGTGCGTAAGGCATTACATGAGCTTCCAGCATGTTGTAACACTTAAGCAGCGCAGCCTAATAAGTGCTCTGGAATCATGGGTCCACTGGTTCGATTTAAGTACTAACCACGTATGTGTATTGATATCAGCAGATTGATACAATCTAAATATCATCCGTAATTTTCTGAATAAATAACTATGCACTGCTCATGGTACCACCGTCACTCCGAAACCATATTATTATTGTATATTCTTTAAGATAAACCTTGAAGATAATAATAGCCATACATTTTATCAAGCAAAGATAACTGAAATATTTGAATCATTCCGAAATCATTCAACTTGTGTTGATACTGTTTGGGATTTTCCCCTGGTGCGAATACAACGAACAGATACACAGTACACATGGTTAGTCAACTGAGTGATTAGTTGACAGCGGTAAAGGCTGACCAACTGAAACCTTTAAGGAATACCATGCACTCGCACATAATTGGCTTAATGTCTCAATTCGGTCAAAACATAAATATTGTTGTTATTGTCTGCGTTCTGAGTATGGCAGTAACCTCCCTTTGGTTACGTTAACCAGTTGATGGAATAGATATTTATGTATATAATTTGTTTATATTTAATGATTGCGCCTTCTAGTGTCCCTGAACTTACAAAACAGTGAATTTATTCAAGATTAGTGAATAAATGTGAAAATTAAAAATATCACAACTCTGAGTACTTTTAGTATTTATTGTCAAAGGAAACCACTTAGGAGTCAAGAAGTGAACACGTAGAATCAAATAATTTTGGTTCAATTTTTTTCAGTTTCATCCAGTGTGTTTTTCAACAGCGCTCATTACAAGTCCTTTAACGATTTTGTTACTTCTAGGTTGTTGGGCCAAGTGAGTGAGTACACTTCCAATTGATTTTTAATCGATGGCACCAAACAGTGCTTTCAAACATAAATCTAATCCTGAAAAAGAAAATGGATATGGAAATATTCTTCGGTTAAAACGTGGCGCAATTTTCCTCTGATATAGCATCCAGTTAGTCTAGCATCTTTGATCCGGATTTTCCTAGGCACTGAGTTTTACCCGGTGTCAGTCGCTGGCCACTAAAATCAGATTCGGAGCAAGGGGACAATAAATGCTCTAACTCTGTAAGACCCAAACAAAACGGATGGTAATTTGGTTATCTGTTTCAAAAAAAACCTCTTCAGTTCAATTTGGTATTCTGAATACAGTGAATAGCGATTGAATACAGCTTTCCTGTTTGGTGTGAGATCCATATTAGCTTAATCTTTCATAATTTTGAGGGCCTAAATAATCTCGCAGACAAAACATTGAGAACAAAAATATCGTGGTAAACAACCACGTTTTCACTTATTCGTGTTCAGGCTATTATATAACATTAAATACGACTAACAGTGAGAACCAAAAGGGAATGAGAAATTCGAATCCACCTCTGGTTCAGCTCTGGTCCGTGTCCGTGTCCGTGTGTGCTCGTGTGAACTTGATCACAGTGTCAAATGTTCTGTTGGTTGCACACATGTTGCGTTGGTCCATTTGGTCCACGCACCAGCAGCCATAGCTGCTGTTGTTGCTAACAAAAATCACGCCGTATTAATGCTGAATTATATATGTTTTTTCTTGTTCTAATTCCACGTTTATGTACGAAATCATTTTTGAGATAATATTTTATCCAATCCATTTCCTTTCGTGAATGGTGTGAAGTTTTAAAACCGATGGCAGTAAAAAATGGTGTTTTGTGACCACTATCCAGGTGTGAAGTGGAGATGGTTGGGGAAGAACTGACTAATTTTTACCGTATGCTGTCATCACAGCATGCTGTCATCATCATCATCATCATCAGAAGGTTACTAAAAGCAAATAGTAAATTATTCAGTCTCATTTAGGTGAATAAATGTTGCACTTGCCTGTCAACAGTATTGGTGTATACATGACGTGGGTTGAAGCTTTGGGCAGAATGAACAGTCTCCTGTAATCCGTCACCGTCCAGACGAAATGGATTTACTCACTCGTCGGAAACCAAGTTGCAATACACAACAGCTCTGTTTATTCAATGAGATACAAAATTAAATGTGCAACTAAAACAGTTTTCTCTCCACAGGGATACTGACTTTTATGCATGCACTTTCAGTGCACAGAAACCACTTGAATCCTGGTGCGTGGAAAGCAACCCTTACATTTGGGTGCCCGGTAGTCGGCTAAGGAGGTAGAAAATGGAACTTCTCGGTGTTAATCTGTACGCTGGTACACACGTTTATGCTAAACTAGGCGTCTAATCATTTGAAAACGAAGGTATGTTCCGGAATATTATTACCAAGTTGCAGACGGATCAGTCTATGCGCATTTATGACTACACCAGCGTAACTTTCAGCGGTTAATCCGCATGTCTCATACGGATACCACCAGTTTAATGTAGACCTCAAAAATACGCTTCTCATCAGCACATACTATCAGTAAAACCCGTGAGATAAGTAAAATCACCTGAAGGATAATTCAAAGCCACTGAATGTTTGGAATTACACAATCAGCATATCAATGGGGCCACGAAAATTCTCCGATTTTGGTAAAATCTCAGTTAGATAGACGTAAACATTTTTAGTGTAAATATAAAATACCCATTCCATAATGGACGTATGCATTGTCTTGCCTATATTTTGCTGTGTTCCTTACCACTTTCAAGGTTGGGATATCGTTTTGTGCTGATGCAAAGTAACTAGGTTGAAGTGGCACTAGAGAAACTCGGATTGTGTGAGCTTACTTGCAAAGCAGATTAGTGTACACCGTACTTTTGTTTATATCTTAGATTTTTGTAAGTCAGAAAAGATTATTTGTGAAAAAATTGAACCACAAACACATTTATTTCAAAAAACAGGATAAGGCATTCACATCAGTAGATCATCGGGTCAGTAGGATATAAAATCACCCAAACTGAAATTGGATGAGCATGTAAGAGTCATATATGGCAGTCGGATGATAAGAAATGAGATCAGACGATAGAGATGTAGAGAAGTCATGGCAATCATAATGGGAGCACAGATTATAAACATCACGTTTACGTTATTAGCATAACTACGGTTAATCAACACAGGATTCACAGTTGTCCGGATTCCCCTCAGGTAACTTCTCGAATAACTTAATGAGTGCTGCGCAGGAATCTACGTGTACCGCCTCATTTCTATCCGCACTATCGACCATCCTACTTTTGAGCTAATGGTTTTCTCTTACCGGCGGCCGATGAACGGCGCAGGATTATTGGACGGACTGTAGCTCGGGATGCATGTTTTTGTCTGATATATGCAAAACAAAGATAAACACATAAAAATGAACTGATTTCATTTTCATATACTGCACTGAACTAATCCATAAGGCACATTCTGTCACCATGAATGTCATTTATCCAGTGGTAGGAATGTCCACGAATGTTTACCAAGACTTGCCTGGACATATGTGAATGATAAGCTATGGGAAACGAGTCATATTATTGATACGCAAATTTTACATAAACAATCAGTGACTTTGTCTTTT